TGGGAAAAAACTTTTGCCAACCATATGTCTGACAACAGCCCAACATCTAGGACCTACAAGGAACTCAAATATGCAGAAAAGAAAAAAAAACCAAACAGCCCCATTACAAAGTGGGCAAACGATATGAATAGACAGTTCTCAAAAGGAGACATACGAGCAGCCAACAGACACGTGAAAAAATGCTCAGCCTCACTAGTCATCAAAGAAATGCAAATTAAAACCACACTGAGATACCACCTAACTCCAGTCAGGATGGCTGTCATAAATAACTCAAAAAAACAACAGATGCTGGAGAGGATGCAGCGAAAAGGGGACACTTCTACACTGTTGGTGGGAGTGTAAACTAGTACAGCCTCTGTGGAAGACAGTAGGGCAATTCTTAAAAGATCTAAAAGTCGATCTTCCGTATGACCTCACAATCCCCTGAAACAAAGAACTGAGTATCATATGTTCTCACTCATAAGCGGACCTTGAACAATTATCATAATACTAGAAGAAAACGATTCGCAGTAGTGGGGAAACTGCTGGGAGGGGGCAGAGAAGCGGGATTGGCAGTAGTGGGAATCTGCCTGGAAACGGGAGGGGGGCACACCTCATCAAAAAGGGTACCTGCATAATGAACATTTGTATTCCTATCCCTGAATTGTAGCCCGCATCTTTAAAATAAAAAAATTGAAAGTTTAAAAAAAACTTCTTTCTACCTGTTCCCTGCCCCTTTGATTTATCTGTATCAAGGATGAGTAGCGGAGATTTACTGAGACCATAACAATCTCAATGGTGAAGCTTCACCTCACTCTGCTATGTCTAGTACCCTTGTTTTCTGTCCTTGTTCCTCCTCCTATAAAAATCTGCACTGAGCTACGGGTCTATACACTCACTTGCTCAAATGGTTGACTGAGAAAGATGGGAGTCCTTGAATGCCAGGATGAGGATTCTGGGTCATGCAACAGTGAGGGAGAAGTGAGGCCACTGATGATTCCTGAGCAAAAAGGATGCTAAGTGATGTCTGTCTGTTGACTGGGTAAAATTATGCGGGTGTAAGACAAGGAAGTAGCCATGTGAAAGAAAGATTGGATGTGAAAGAGGTTGCAGTGAAAGCACCCCTGAGATCTTGCAGCAATTGGACAGGGAAGTGGGAGGGGTTGGAGTGAGTCAAAGGGGACCCTGCAGAGTAGAAGCACATTAAAGAAAAGCTGGTTGGGGATGCAAAGTGAAAGACCAGGCACAAGTATCATATAATCCCGCTTGCATGCCATATCTAGAAAAGGCAAATTCAGAGAGACAGAAGGTAGAGTGGGGTGTTGGGGGAGCAGAAGGGGAGTGATTGCCTCATGGGCATGGAATTTCTGCTTGGGTTGTTGGAAAAACTCTGGAAATAGATAGCAGTGATGGTTACACTCATATGT